ACCACTGGAATGGAGAAGTCTGGAAACATTCGTGTGTGGTTTAGGGAAATACTGAACGACCAGAATTTCTGAGCACACCGTGATGGATTAATGTAATTATTGGGAATGATAATATTTTAATGTGACTTTCTTCCCACCTGTCAGTTGTAATCAAGGCTGCCCAGTATTCGGAAACAAGCTCATTTTACTAGGTGGCTAGTCTTGTGCAGCCTGTAAGATGCGTAGAATATTAATGCTCGGGAGAGACTGAATGTTCTCTATAGTTTTATTGTGTTGTATTTTAACCAAAGTGTATGCAAAATCAAACCGAGATAATATGTAATAAATTCATGCCAATGGCTGCTTAAGGGGAACAATTTCATGTAGGGGATATTGCATTCGAACCAAAGAATTTGGCCTTTCTTTCCACCCTCCATACATGACCCTGCCTGTTAATTTCTGCACAGCTGAATGTCTTTTGTTAGAACCCCTTATTCTGAAACACTTTGAACTATCTCAACAAAGGCGTTCTGACATTTAGGTGAGGGTTGCCCCATTTAGAATTGTCTGCCAAGATAGAGTTACAGAGCAAGCAGTGTATGTAAAGACACGTGTATTTAATGTTGCTATTTACTTGCTGATTTCCACTTTCAATTCCCGGTGCTGTGGCTAATTTTAATCTTGCTTCTGTATTTCACATGTCATTTAGATATTACCCCCACATTTTCTTTGTCTGTTTCTCGCTCTAACATTAGCTGCTATGGGGATGCTTTGGGGGATTTCTTTAGCCCCCTGAAGCTGTGGCGACCGTTTCTCAACAGTTTCTTCTCCCAGGGGATCGATTCTCTTCTATCTGCTTCATAGCCATAGGTATACACTCTGTTATTTTACATTTCATTCCGTGGTTATGTAACCAGGGTCTAGGACAGAATGACTTAATCTTTAATATCTCATATGCCCCTTTACAACTTTAGGCCATTCGAATCCTCTCCCTATGACAAATTCCAGGATAGACCCACACTGGGCCGGGCTTTGCCAGGCAACTGAGGCACTGGGCTGCGCTGTACCATGGAGTTCTGTGGGTCTTGTGAATTCCAGTGGACCTTCCGTTTTGGTTTATTTCTGGGACACAAAGGTAGCCGTGGCCAATTCAAAGGGGTCCTGAGCACACATCGTTTCTCTGCCCTAAAAATGGAACAAATACTTTCCACCCAAGCCTGCTCATTTACTCTCTGGGACAATCAAGACCATGGCGGGCTTTCCCTTTAGTTCCATTCTAGTTGCCGTTTTAGGATACAGAGCCTCTTTTCTCATATTTTATAATCAGGTAAATGTTGATGTTTATAAACAGCAAGACTATTAATTCTGGCAGGAGGGTTTGAATATCTGTAAATCTGACACAATTGAAGGGCTGAACTTCAGAGTTCCTCACCCTTGCCTGCCAAGTGGCCTCAATCAGAAGTAATTTTCTCCATGAGGGCACATGGAGCTTGGTTGTGAGCCTCTTCGGAGGAGATATTATTTGTGTCAAATTACGTGTGCTGATTTTCCTGAAGTGGACTCTGTGCCCACTAATCCATACCCAGGAGGTCTCTCTATTCCTTCCTTCATTGGTGCTTTTAATTATACTTGGGCTTCAAGTGTCTCTTATTTACCCCTTTAAAATGTTAGTTTATGGCCACCAATTATCAGCGATGTTTCTTGTTAAATAGTGTTGACAGGAACGTGAGATCCTGGCTTAAAATATAAACACGATGCATTTTAAGGGAAACCCCTCTCTCAGCATCTGGCTTGACGGTTAAAGAAGTGACTAGTAATTTCACATTTGAAAGTACGGTAGATTATATAAATCTTAATTTACTTTGGGAAGAGTGCGAATCGACTCTTTAACCATCTTCCTGCATCTTATTCTAAATAAGCATTGGGTTCTCACACCTTTCGAGCAAAGGAGCTCAAAAAGCCTTTACCATTTTGTACTTTGAACGGAAATGCTCCTTTCCAGGAGGAGGCTCAAGCTCACAAAGAGATGCCTAAGACATATTTTTAACTCTTGAATTTGCAGGAGACTTATCAATTATAAGTTTTCCATAAACCTAGAAATAAAAGTGAAGCGCACATTTCGAATCTGCGCACCAATTAAAGATCCACAGCACATTAGCTGAGTCCGAGGTTTGCCGACGATAAATCAGGGTTGCAGGGTTCGTTTTCTTTCCCGGGATTACAGGCGCCAGATTTTAATACGACTCTCAAAATTTAATTTAATATATTGCTGAAGTCAATTTGCTATTCTGTGTTTTAATTATTCAGTAACATTATCTTTAATAAAGGATCTTGCAAAATTTTTATCACATCTGTTTCAACTTTAAAAAGGACAGTGCATATTGTTAATTTTATTTTTATAGTATGCAAGCATGTTCTCTAGGTATGAAGGGTTTTATGCTTTTCATATTTTATACATGAACTGTTCAAATATTTATTATTTTATTGGAAGTTATTTCTGTAAGCAAAATTCAGAGTATTTATTTTCAAAGAAAAATACGATCCCCAAGGGACTATTTCATGCCATTTCTGTTGTAACTAATAGTAAATCAGTTACTTTACAAATTGATCCAGTATGGATTATATAAAAAGAATGAAAATGAGTAATCAGATATTTTTATTTTGGGGGGGTCTACCAAAAGATCTCCTGATTTTCATGGAAGGGGAACATAGACTTTGGTTGACTTGAAGCAGTCGGAAGAGCAAGGCACACATGTAAAGCTGCTTGTTAACCTGCCTGTGGAGGAGAACTGGGCATTGTGGACAGCCAGCTGCTGACGTTCTCATCTTCACGAATTGCTTGAATTTCAGAGTTCTGTTTCCGACAGGAAATGTTTATCACTGCCACAGACTGGTGTGCACGGGAATGCACGATGTTAGAGAAAGGGTGTGCAGAATGCTGCACTTTGCAAATCAACAGCTTCACTTAGTGGGCTATGACATTGTTCTGCTAGCGGAGATGCTTTTCAGACCATAAAACTGAAGAGAGCCTGGCTATATAGCACATCGTGTGAGAAAGCACCCCAGAACTCCTGCATCAAACACAAATGAGACTTTCTTTTTAAACATGTTTCCTTTTTATTAAACATTAAATTACTTCAGAAGAATAAAAACAAGGAAATGGCATCAGTTAGTGTCTTCATTAGATAAATCATTAATAAATTTATTTAAAAATGTAACAAATGAATTTGAGGAGGAATGATCCCTTGCTACTATTTAATATATGGCTTGGACGCTTTGTTATTTAACATAACTGTTCTAAAATTATAAATGCTAGACTTGAAATTGTTAATAACTGTATAAAAACTAATAGGAGATCTATGAATTTATTTATTTTGACTCTTCAGTTTAAGTAAAAGAAGTGTTACAATTATGAGAATATTAAAAATAAACTTTTTAAAAATTACATAAGGGAAAAATAAATTCTGAAGAGGACAAAAATTTCTAAAGAAAATGTATTGTTGGGTGTGCCTTAATTTAAATGCAGGTAATTAAGTCTGCATGTAAATGTGTCTTGTCAATTCAGACCTTAGGAAGCTCACATGGGTGGCAGTCTTACACCACGGATGTAGGCATGTTGGCTTACACAGATATATAACAACAATAATATTGAAGCATTTAAATTGATAAGATTTATCTTTGATCCTAAAATTTTCTACTACATTTGGAGAGAGAGAGAGAGAGAGAAAGAGAGAGAGAGAGAGAGAGAGAGAGAGAGAGAGAAAGTGAGAGAAAAGGAGAAAGACACAGCAGAGGCAGAAACTTAATTCTGCAAGTATTTATCCTGTCAGGACCAGTGACAGAGTGACAATTAGTACCGATTTCCATAATTGTGCTCTGAGGATAAAATGCTTCTTCTGCAGTAAATGCAGGCTTTTCTTAGGAAAACGAGTCGGCTGCATTATTTGGTTAACAGCACGTGTTCCCACGCCACTCACTCGGAGGTGCCACTGCAACCCTTCCCTCTCTTGCAGTAGATAGGCCTGTGAATGTAGTGTACCTGACTCTCGCTCTTTCTGGGGGAATTGCATTTCTATTACTGAAAAAGCATCACATAAATACAAATTACATTTTTTCATTAGGAAACTACTTTTCATTTTAGAAAAAAAAATTCAATTAATTGTGAATAAGGTTATGATTTCGCCAGGGAGAGAAATATGTAATTTTTCTTCAAGCCTCAAACACATATAATAATGAAATCTTTTCTTGGAATCCACTCTTACGAAGGATTTTTAAAAGTATAGACTTTATTAAAATCTCAGTTCAATTAAAATGCATTCAGTTACTATAAATCTTTATTAAAATCGCAGGTAAAATGGTTCAACAGTGTAAGAGAGAGCCATGCTTCTTTACCAGGCATTGAATTCTAACAAATGATTGTAAGGTGCACAGGTTTGCTCTTCAAGACAGGCGTGTGTATGTGTGTGTGTATGTGTGTATGTGCATGTGTGTGTTCATGCATATGTGCACGTGTGTGTGTGGTGTTTGCATGTATGTGTGCGGTGTATGTGTGGTGTGCGTGTGTGTGTGGTGTGTGTGTGTGTGCATGTGTAGTGTGTGTGTGAGCGTGTGTGCGTGCATGTGTATGTGTGTGTGGTGTATCTGTGTGTATGTGACATGTATATGGTGTTTGCGTGTATGTGTGTAGTGCATGTGTATGTGTGTGTTGTTTGTGTGTGTGTCCACGGGCACATAGAGGCTTGGTACTGGGAATAGAGGCAATAGAGACTGAAGTGACTGTGTCTCATCATCTCCTCTGGCACCGGCTTTCTTTGCCTTCTCAGTGAAGGCCGTATTTCTTCTTTTTTCCCCACTTTAAAAAATTCACTTATTCTATAAGTTTCCATATATGTACTTATTCTATATTAAGTATATTCACTTCCCATAAACCCCTGTGCACTGTTTCTTGGGTGTCATTACATTAATGTGTGCGTGTCCTCTTGGGACAACATAACTGTGATTCTCTTCCCTCACTTCTGTAATCAGAACCACCCTACTTAAAGGATTCTTATTTTGCCTCTTCCTTGGATGTGTTTGGTACAGTGTCCCTGATTCTTTTTCAAGGGCCGCTGGAAGATGCCATTGAGGATGAGGACGAAGAGTATCCATCGGAGGAGGCGGAAGGCATCGCTAAAGGGGACTTTCCACTGGAGGGAAGCTTCCCAGCAGACTTTGGGCCAGAAAATCTGAGCTGCGAAGAAGTGGAGTTCTTTTGTAACAAAGGTAATCCTTGATGACTGAATGGAGGATGGAGTCACTTAGGTGGTTTTGAAACAAATTGTCTTCTTCTTTCCTCCTCCTCCTCCTCCCCCTCCTCTTACTTCTCCTTCTTCTTCTCCTTCTTCTTTTCCTTCTCCTCTTTGTTCTCCTCCTTCTCCTCCTCTTCCTCCTCCTCTTCCTCCTCCTCTTCCTCCTTCTCTTCCTCCTCTTTCTCCTCCTCATTCTGAACCTTAGGATGAAATAAAAGTACTAACATAATGCAATGGTCTATATTACGGGAAGATTAGGATATAGGAAGGTCTTTTGTCATTCAGACAAGTTTTTTCATTTTGATAATGATCTTTTTTATTTTCAAATACTCTATTACTGATTGGTATATTCCCTGAGCTAATTTTGTTGCTGTTTTTTCCAACCAGCTATAACACATTTGACATTTATCAAATTTCTTCTTCTCTCTTTCAACAGATAGTGATTGAACTCCTTTAGTTTGCATGGCACTAGTAACTGAATATGAGCACCTAGTGGTGCAGATAATCCCCAGCCCAAGAGCTGGCTCAGTCTCTCTAGAAACTGAGTACTGTGGGTGTTAGCTTTCAACTCTGCTGCTCCCTGTTAGGTTATCTGGATAAAAAAGTGGAGGACCTTTTCCTCTGTGGATCCTCTTTGGACATACACACACCACACACACATACACTACATACACATACACCACACACACACACACACACACCACACACTGCACATACACACATAGCACCCCCACAAACACCGTATAGACCACACATATACATATACCACCCACATACCACACATACACACACTACTCCCCACACACCCACATCACATACATACCACACATACACACACCACCCCAACACCACACATATACACACACAAATACACACACCACCCCCACACACACTACACACTACATATACACACCCATCACCACACACACACAAACACTACATATACACACACACATTACAGACACCACACACACACACACACACACCATACATGCACACACAAACACACACACACACACACACACAAAATAACCCAAAAAGTACCGGCAACAAATTTCAGTCGATTTCTAACCTGAACTTTTTTCCCTATTTTACATCCTCTTTTTTTCTAAAAGTAATTTTATGATTTCACATGACTTTGTTATTATTTGTTTTTACTAGTTTGTTTAGTCTCCCCTGGGTTAGAACTTCTTTTCCTCCTTTACCAGCATGCAATGTCATAAGTGTTGATATAACAGCTGCGTCTGCTAATTGTGCAGGATTGTATCCCAGGCGACACTGGCTGAGCCGCTTGGAGTCTGCATCTGTCTACACCTGCCGATATTTATATGCGTGCAATTCTCGTGCAGGCACGCCATTTTCCTAAACCTGCATATGGGTTTAGACAGTTGAGCGAGGTGAAGTGAGCTTGTGTGTGCTGATTGTCTAGGCAGCCTAAAATCAAGAAAGCTGATACAATAGCTTAAAAATGGCCAGTGTATCTATCTTGATGATCACATGTATTTATAGTAGTTTTAAAAGCTCAACAGTGCAATCCCATGTTGATGGTGTCTTAGAAACTCAGAAAGCCAACTCATTCTTGTCCTTCTGTTCACTAGAGCAACAACGTCACTGGGATCTCCAAGAGCATGAACAGTGGCCTGGTAACACGGTGCCTATCTCTAGGACAGATCAGTTTGACTGAAAATAAGAGTATAACGAATAGAACAGTTTTGTCCATAGAGCGATTTCAGACCAATTTGATGTTTCCTTTAGGTGTTCTGGATTCTGTGTCTCTCTTGAGAATCTGTAGTTTAGGCGATGCATGTAAGCACAGGCTGAGGTGTTGAGGTATGCTGGCTTTTAAATTACATCTGCCACCATCTTATTCTCTATTGTTTCCATCAAATTTCTATTTCTATGTTTATTATAAAATATCTATTTTTTCTAGAGTATTATTATTTTCAAAAAAAAAAGAACGAGAAAAGCTAAGGAATGGAAGGCATTTGCCTTTTCCTCTCTCTTTGGACTCTTATGATTAAAGAGTTAAGACATAAATTTAGATCTTTAGAAGCATAACTAATGTAATTAAAAATAAATAAAGTTAATAATTGCATTAATTTAGCAATGGTAAGTATTTCTATATCCTGTTTTAATTTGGAGTCATCACTCCTAAAGGCTTATGTTTAATAAAAGAGTTTGGTAAACCTAAAGCTTTGGGTGATCTCTTGGAGACAGACAGAACCAGAACAAATGGTTTTTTGTAAACAGTGTCTATAGTCGTAAGACAAAAATATTCATCTACACTAATAAGAATCAGGACTCAATGTAATAACGGGCATTTGGGAAATGAGAACATTGAATTACAATTATTGTGAATGCTATTTAATGGATGTGACCATTTGATAAACACTTGGGAATCCTAACATATTTTAAATATGCAACAAACCCTTAATAGCACAGGCACTGCTGTTGAATAGTATATAATATACGTGAATTATAAAACAATTCCTTAATGCTCAGTTTGAAACAAAAAAGTCATCCATGGGAATAAGGACTGTTATTTTCATGTGATATCGTTACTATAAATGAGAACATTACTATTTCGTTTTCCTGTGGCCTTATGTAACAGGAGAGAATTACATGATTTTACTCTTATAGACAGTGAATGGTGGGAATGCCCCTGGAATTTGGTTAAACAGATACGAAAGGAAGCCAGCACTGATCGGCACTGTAGCCGGTTGTACAAGGACTGCAGTCTTCTCATTCACTCTCTTTCGCCTTCTCTCACTATTTAACTTGTGTAGTTTAAATTGGAAGAGAAAACATCTCATTTGAAGAGTAGAATGCGATCTCTGCGTAGGTAGTCGCATCTGTCTCCGTGGCACACGGTTTGGCTTCCTTTGTGGTTGACGAGAGAAGATTGACTAAGCAGTGAAGCAGGAGAATGACTTAAAGCTTAAGGGAATGAATACTGTGACTGAAAAGCCAGGTATAAAATGGTCTCTTAAAAGGAGCCTTTTCACTGAAAATCTAATTTTTGTATACATTCTTGACCATTTATGATGATTCCAAAGTTGTCATTCTATATCAACAAGTGAGTTAGATGGTTTAGTTTCTTTCAAAAATCTACAATGATCTAGTTATTTTAATGGCTGCCATAGATAAAATGTTTAGACATTGGATGCATGTTCTTAATAAGTAAGAGTTAGCTTAAGATCTTATACTATAAAACATACGAAGAGTCTCTTAATTCTTCAAGCCACAAATACTGACATGAGTTCAGGGAGAATAGGAAGCATCCTTACAAGGTGACTGCATCCTCATCAGTATTTTAGTGTTGGATTTTGTGTAACTGATGCCATGTTATCGTAACTGTTTAGTTTTTTGAGGAATAAGAGAGGAAAAGCTTCATTCTTTAAATATCTGTGAAAAAACTGCTTATTATAGGTAAATGTTTCTATGTTTAGGATTGCCATATATTGTAGGATATTGTCAATGGCTAGAATAATTTTACTTTCTATTTTTCCTGACTTCACTCATATTATCTATGTTCTTGCTAAAGGGCAAGATTTTGTGCACATCTGGAAGAAATCATTAATATTAAAGCCGTGGGTCTCTCTAAACCATGGGATCAAATATCGTTTATCTCAACCTAGCAAGGTTAAAATCAGGAAAAGTGTAATTTATACTTTATGTTTCTTTAATAGGTTAAATTCTTAATTATGTGTTTGTATCTCAGACATATCCCTCTTCAAGTTGTAGGCCTAGAATTAACAAATCCCATTGAAAATCCCAAGTCAGCTCTTGGTTTGGACTAGTGTGTGCGTCTCACCTTCACACAAAAGAGACTGTTTACTATAAGATGTTTCTTTAAACTGCTTTGGGCCTCTGATATTTTAAAACGCTGGGCAAAATATAAAGTGATGGTTCAGGTCGTAGCATTGTCTTTTGTTCTAAACTGCTTGGCTTCTTGCCTTCCCGGCATCTGCGACAGGAAGGGAACAAGCAAGAATTATTTCCTTGAATTTGCAGATGACGAAGACATCCACACTGGGCTCATAAGTGCTACACATTTCCTGTGGTATTGAATTATTTGCCCCAGCTATTGCATCTCTCTTTCCCTGTTTAATGTAGAAAACAGGGGCATATAGTCATGCATGTGCAAAACTAAGCCTAGAGTTAATAATTAGTCCAAGTGGAATTCCAAAGTGAAATATTTAAGTTTGTTTATGAAAGAGGTGAAGTAATTATGTATGGGATACATTTCAGGAGAATGAACAGGATGTGTGAACAGGAAGGAGAGAGTCAGATGGGTGTCTCTGTCATGTAGTAAGTAAGAAAGCAGCTGTGCTATGGAGAAAAATCTTCAAAAACTATATGGCAATGATAGCCTGAGTTGTTAATAATGATCTAGGAAAGTTACTAGGAGCCTTTGGAAATTTTTCTGTGATGTTATGGTCTCTAAGGAAGCTAAGAGGGAATATAATACCATCAACCTTGTCATTTAAAGACAGAAAACCCAAATTCTTCTCCTAGCACCTAGATATAAAAAATGGTCAGAGATTATTGGATAGTGTGCACACTAAAAAGGCATTTGGGAAGATCAATGTTGGCAAAAGCCTGCAAGATGGAAATCCATACAACAAGGAAGCATATTGTGCAGTGATGGATATTATCATATATTCAAAGAGCTTATATTAAATAATATTTAAAAGGGAATGAATATTTTAAGTACCCTTTTAAAATTGAACATTGTAAGGTACATTAAGAAAGTAGAATAGAACACAGGTTCCTCAGTTTGGAATTAATGTTAGCCCTAGCAGTAGTTATGAAATTAAACAAACAAACAAAACAGATACTGAATCAGGTGGCCAGAAGTTTCCAGTCTTGTTCATAGATAAATTCAATAGAACTCAAGCTACTCAGTAATATGCATCTACAATAACAAAAGACAATCTCTATCCGAGGGGAAAAGGAATGGTTAATGAAGGA